AAAAAAGAAATTAAATTAAATTTTATATCATACCTAATAAAAGCTGAAACAATACATTGTCTACAAATTTTGATTCTTAATTCAAAGATTTTCACCGGATCATTAAAAAATTACCACAATATTGGCATGTTTTATACATGTTGTTTAAAAAATATAATTCTGCCTTTGTCAAATAATTTGAGAAATTGCAATTATAATATGTTCGCCAGAAATTTTGATTATTATAAATGTGAGATATTATCAATTGGTAAGTATTTTTGTTTGCATGTGAAACTATGAATATGTCTTTTAGATTTAAATGAAAAGCAATTTTAATTAAAATTTTTTCAATCTCAAAGTCTTTTCATTTTTCTTTTTCAACAATGATCTCCATCTTGATAATTTTGGTAATTTTTGAGGGCCCAGCTTCAACGATATCTTTCATCAGATAAAAAAATCTTAGTAAATTATTTTATTCTCTAAATAATTATATTCTCCATAATATAAATAGCTGTTGTTACTTACTGGAATCTCGCTCATATTTTTGTCTATATTCTTCAAGTATTTTTCTAATCCTTCCATTTAAATTTATCACTTCTTGATTCTTTACTTGAATTTGTTTACCATTTTTATTTCTATTGGTAATTTGTATTAAACCGAAATTGTTGCAAAAAACACTTAATGTATCATGCAATTTACTATTTTCTTGTCTCAATTTTCTGTTTTCTTCTTTTAAAGTATTAACTTCATCTTTTAATTCTTTGACCAGAGACCTTAAATCATTGATTTCAGTTTGAAGCTTTTCAATTTTAATAATACGAGAATTATATTCTCGTTTAGTTATATCATTCTGTTTAAGTTTACAATTAAGAAGTTTCAAAGTTTCTTCTAGATATTGGATTGTAAATTGTGCGATATCATATTGTTCTGAACGAAGTTTATGAGAATATTTTTTGAGCTTATTTTCACAAGTCATTTTAGTTACAATTTAATGTTTAAGGTTATGCTTTAAATACCTTGTTAGTATATGAATAGCACTATATGACTATATGATTATCACTACAAAAAATATGCTCTTTTATAAAGTGCATATATTTATTTTGATATATTCAGAAACTACAAAATGTTATTGCTATATATTATTTATATAAATTACATATTTTACATTAAAACTCACAGAGTAAAAATTAGTGATCTTGAAATATAGGTTATATTGTTAGATAATAGTTAAATTTATTATACGCTAGTCATGTATAAATTGTATTGTAAAATTCAAAAGTGGTCAAGTAATTCATCAATATAATAATGCATGTAAGCCAGTTTTTTCCTTATTTAAATATACGTCAATAAATAAATTTGCATAAACATTTTAATATCGGTACGTATTATATAATTAAAAAGAGATATGTACATTCCAACAATTTTTTATATTGCCAAATTACAATAAGAACAGTTTAAAAACTGGATAATCTCTAGGCAATTGCTATGATCCTATGGATAGTTTGAAATTTCAATCTTTTTAAAAGTATCAGAATGTTAGATCAATATAAATGTTAAGATACAAAAATAGCCATAAGATATAAATCTATACAGTCAAAGCTCTTATAGAGAGTTTGTGCCTATATGGAGGTTAAATTTTATAAGTTGGTTTTAAAATTTATGTGATTATAAGCAAATGTGACTATATAGAAGATAACTATAGAGAGGTCTAACTGTAATCAGTATTAGAACTGTGATTGGATGCTTTATAATAGTGATATTTTTATTGAAACATGTGATCCTGAGGCCTGAAAAGTTTATCTTACATGAGATTTCATCAAAACAATTAATGCACTTTTTTTGAGTTTATCAATGCCTAATGACATTGTCGAAATTAAGGTGTTCATTGACTTGAATCATTAAGAAGTTCAACAAATGAAGTGCCAATTTTAGTTGAAGACTATTTTAATTATATTGTGTGTTCTTATTTTGAATAACAACTAAATCATAATTTATAGAAACTAAAAGGCACACGATTTGTCAAATATATTAATTTTATTACTATCTGTTAAAAACGTGAGTAAATTTCATGTGATTCTATGTTATATATATATACGAAATAAATACCAATGAAACACAATATCATTACGATGAAAACTCAAAGTAGCCTCCAAATGAAATTATTGATATTATATTTGAAAATATTATTAATGATATTTTTAATATTCAAATTACATTTAAAAAATCAGTAGTTGATTTTATTTCTTTAATGCAATTGATTGATCAAACAATGAAAAGGCATTTTGAAGTAACTCTTCAACACTTTTATATGAATAGTTGGCTAAGACATGAATTTGAAGAAGTCCCAAATTATGATATAGGATTTTTAACTATATATAAATATTGGTTGAATAGCTGTGGGCATGGTAGTTATTTCTTTGCTGTAATGATGAAAGGTTATGATTATACATTTCGTAGAAAACTATGAGATTTTTTAATTATTTTTAAATATCATTCTTTGGATATTTGAAAAAAATTCTCCAACAAATTGAAGATGATAACAATGCAGATATTCTGAAATATTATTACCCTTTATTAATTACTTTAAGGATATTAGAGATTAATATTTAGACGGTAAAGCTTATTATTACTTTAAGAAATTATTTCATAAGGTATATAAAGCGCTGTTTTACAGTATTAGCAAAAAATGTGCAAAAAAGTTTATGTTAATAGTAGAGCATGTGAATATACTGTTACAATAGCATTTGGTAGTATTAATATTTAGAGTTTCCTTATAATAAATCTTTAATTTTGAAAGAAAAAAATTTTATCATATCTTTATAACGTGATTGAAAATAATATATGCTTGAAATGAATTTTAATAAATACCAATTTACTAAGTTTATTTTGCAACTTAAACTTTATTATTCTCATTTTTCA